GCAGTTTAATGTGTTCCACATCTCGTATAAGTCCAGTATTACAGACACGTAACTTCTTTGCATGTATTAAAGCATGGCTAAACCCAAAAAACAAAATATAATACAATGCAGCTTACCAGTCCTCCCATTAGGTGCCTGCATTAGTTTACTTTTGATAGTCTTCTGGGAATAACACTTTATTCTGCTCCATGGTGGCTACACCCAGTTCTCCACTGTATCTATGTAGTGTGCCACAGCTGCCACCCAGGCCCCCAAACATGTCTTTCTCTCCTCATCTCCATTACAGTTGTATGATCAGTTTATTTGTGATTATAGTTATTATCACAAAAAGTGACAAGGACATGGCATTTCTGGAAAGAGCAACAGGTATTTTCTGTACTAGATGAAAATGTTCTTAGCCTCAAAAATGAAAACTAATGCAGCCAACACAGCTAAGGACTGTTAACCTACAATATATTACTTTTTTCTTCTTGAGTTTAGATATCATTTGATTTGACTATGTATCTGTGCATAAATAGTCAATATCTATACCTAATTTCCATTAAAAATGATCTAGTAAATTCATAAAGATCTAATGTTAACTATACATATTGCTATATTGGTGCCCCTGTAATGTTCAGAAAATCCTTGTTTTTATACCTTATACAGTAGGCTCATCAATAATGCCACAGTCTGGGAACCAGGGCACTAGGGATCACAAGCTACAAGGTTTGCAAAGCAGTCTGGAACAGGGAACAGGCCTGGAACCAGGTCTTAGAGAGTGACTGAAAGCAAATCATGCTAAACACAGGGAGCCAGGGACAGGGTGTCTGCACAAGAAATGTGGGTGTGCCAGAGGTGCAGGATCTAAAGAGGTTCTGTTCTTCTCCAGAGCCTCTGATGGTGGGGATGTTGCGCTGCTGGGCAGCTCCTAGGTTGCGGCCCTCCAACACACCCACTCAGCTGACTGGAGTGCCAAGGGAACAAAAAGACAGTACAGTACTGGGACACTAGACTCAGTGGCAAGTAGGACAAGAGACTGCACGCAAGAGGCGAAGGAAAGGTTACAGCAGGTGCACAAGGAAAGACTGATACAGGACACACTGTAGTGTGACTAATTTTTAAAAAAAATTTACACTTAACTTTATTGTTATCACATAGGGGCTAAGACGCCCCCTTTGTGTTATCAAATGACAGTGACAGGTCCTCTTTATGGAGACATCAGGGGTCTCTAAAACCCCTAAAGTCACCTAGGGACCCCCAAAGCAGCTGATGAAGCAGAGATCTGCTTCCCCAGCTTCTCTCTGGCTCCTATAGCCAGAGAGTGACAGCTGATTGCAGAAGTGATGTAATATACATCACTTCCTGCATTCACAGAACGGGGAGGAGCTTGGAAGGAGATTGTGTACTGATCTCCCTCGGTTCTCCCTACACAGAGCTACAATGTCGGTCCCGGGCCCGCATGGAGCACAGAGATCCCAGGATCGTGGCAGCGGGCAACAGTGCATGAAGGTACCACATACAAGCGATCGGGCGTCTCTACAGACGTCGGACCACTTGTATGTAGACAGCCATCTCTGGCAGTTTCAAATTTTGACAGTTTCCCACTCGTGCGCTCCAGGCGGCACGCACGAGCGAGCCCGGACACAAAAGACGTTTTAAGATGCCCATCCGCATCTACAAGGCTCCCTTCCGGCCGTTTTGCTATGTTCAACGGAAGGGAGGTGGTTAATCTTCACTCAATTCAACTCAACTTTCGACCTTGTTACTGGAGAAGTGGTTGCTACACATTTCTCTAATACTCATCTAACCACGGCCTCCTGGAACCCATTTACTTGGAACTTCCCTGGTCACCCTCCTCCATTCTACGCTCTCTAACAATATCTTCAATCTCCCTCCCTACTTCCTCTCCCCTCTAAAACACTGGTCACCCCCATACACTACCAGAATCTGCTTGTCCCTGTTTATCTCCAAACCTCTAGAAGCATAGTCAACGGAATTGCTACCTCACTGATAACAATCTTGTAAACCCCTTACAGTCTGGTTACACCAGCAACACTCCACAGAACCTGCCCGTCTAAAACTCGCTAATGACTTACTCACTGCTAAGACCAATGACCACTACACAATACTCATACTAGCAGACCTTTCTACTGCTTTTGATACCCACTCCTCCTTAAAACAACTTTATTCTCTTGGCCTCCAAGACTCTGCTCTTTCCTGCATCTCCTCCCACCTATCCAAGCACTCCTTTAGTGTCACCTACAACTCCACCTCCTCCTTGCAGACATATTAATCCTGTATAAAAAGAATAGTAGAGGGATGCATCATATGTTACACAGTAGAAGATCACAATGCACACATTGCATAGGAAGGAAAGACAGCTGACCCTTCTGATAGATACAAAGTCCAACTCTATAAGATAAGCCTTTTTCTAAAGGTGCAACAACACTCATAACTTCAGCCTCTGTTGTCCCATGAAATCAAAACTTTATTAGATACGTAATAAAAAGGCTGACAGAACAGAGACTGTACATGTTTTGGATTGACCTACACTTTTAGTCATTATTGCCTTTAATATGTTTCTAAACTATGAATGTTATGATGTATATTGGTTCACATCTTGAATGCTATTATTGTACAAGCATGTTCAGCATATGTAAGCTGAAAAGTTCCTCCACCATTGCCATCAGTGCTGAACCAAACATTCATGAGTACTGACTATTCCAACAAACATACCAACTGCAGTCTTACAGTAATTGTCAGCTCTTACAGTGGAACTAAACCCACCGATTTATCGGTTTTCCAAAACAAAGCTGTCATCTCTCAACCAATCGTTCAAGCCCTCAAATGGCTGATGACATAGCTGGTCATGCGTGTAGCACCATGGCAACTGCAGATCTAAAAAGAGACTAAGATGGCACTGTCCTCAGCCGATAGGAGGGTGGGAGTTTTGTTCCGTTTTAAGACATTAGAATCACTGTACTAACATCTAACTGTAAATATACCTCATAGCTGGGTGTTGATGTAATGTTCTTAAAGTACATGTGAACCCTAACTTAATGGCATTCTATTTGATAAAGCACTGTGCATTAGAACTGATTAGAATTTTTAAAAATACTTTACTGTTTTCAACTTTTTGCATCCCTCGATGCAAATCAGCACTGCTTGCAATGGCTGCATACAATGGATAGATGGTAACAACAATGGACAAGGCTTGTGTAATAAGCATTAGTATACCCACTAGTAGTCTCCATTGGGAGAGTGTGTGATAGTGACAACACGGAACAATTGAATGACAGGGACAGAATGTTTTCATATTATAGGAAGAAGTGTCTGAATAAGGATCCTCCTTGGCAAGATCAGGTATATTTTATTAAAATTTGTATATTTAAAATATTAAACATTGCTTTTGACATTGACATGTTAAAGTTTATATGAGAATAGTTTGATTCAGTTTTTATATAGTTTAGCAAAAGAAGTCGATTAACCTCCCTAGTTGTATTCCCAAGTGTGGCTCGGGGTTAATTTTCAGTACCAAAAGCGGTAACCCCAAGCCACACTCGGGATTACACTGTGCGTTGCTTACCTTGTCCACGAGCCCCGCTGTGTCCTCCGGCCGATACCGGCATCCATTTTCCGGGTTCTGTCCCTTGCGAGCGCCCACGTCGCAGGGGGGCAGAACCGGCGGGAGATTTAAAAGTAAAAAATTGGGGGAAAAAACTGAGATAATCAGACTGCCAGGGAGGTTAAAGGTCAATATTGTTGTTGTTGCTCGATCCCACTCTTGTATGCCTATTCAGCCACTGAAGTTCATAAAGTGTATGTCCACTTTCGCAGCCAAATTGGGATAACAGCTATTTTATATTTGTTACATGTTCCCATTCACATAGAATAAGCTACAAAATAAAATAAAAAATGCTTCTTGCAGTTTAAATTGTTTTTATGTGGGTTAGGGTGTTTAGGTTTAAAATTTCTTCTTGTTTCTATGTCTTTAAAATGTTAGGAGGGGCTGTGGGAGGTGAGGGGTCTGAGCTGGCTAGCCCGTTGTATGTTAATGAAGCTTATCAGATAAACACAATCCTCAAATTTCAGTCCCAAGCCATTCCATTAGGACAGACCACTAACAAAAACCTGGAATCAGCCATCTTGCCTGATTTAACAAAACATCTAAAAAGTAAGAATTTAACAAGTTATTGTTCAGTATTTTGTGTGAATAGGAACACATAATGAACATATACAGAGCTATTCACAAAAGGGTGAAGAGTTTGAAAAGGCAGGAGCAGTGAACAATCTAGGACAACATAGCTGAACTGGAAAGTTAGCTGAATTTTTCCAAATCAGCTATATTGTCCTAGATTATTCACTTCTCCTGTCTTCTCCAAACTCTTCACCCTTTTGTGAATAACCTTGATATAGAGGGGTTTTCTGAAATTTGACTGCAGTAGTGGAAATACACTTTAGATCACCCCACCAGATTTCCAGCACTGCCTCTTTTAGACACCGATTTTCATGCCACCTGCTGTAGAAGAAACAGTCTAAAATCACATAACTACATTCTCTATAATAAAGCAGAAGAAAAACCCAGCAAAAGAACTTACCAATTAAAATGCAGAAAGCTCACCCTAAGCCCCACGCACACACAGGCATGAACCAGAGCTAAAAGTTTCAAAAATATATACGTTGAAGGCTTGATTAAAAAGGGCACCATCTACCAAAAACCTAAATCTGTTTTCTTGGAAATGTATTTGTGCAGACACAAGTCTGATACAGTAAGTATGTTTTTCCTGATATTAAAAGGGCACACTTACTAATGGTAATTGTTCTCCCATTAAAACTGAACTGGATTGTTATTTTGCCTACTAGCACAATAAAGAAAATGTATTACACAAGTTACTAAAAGTAAAAGTTATAGACACAGCAGTCCTTTAGGTCTCTCTAATATGTGTTTAGTGGCTGTTATTCTGTCACAGTTTGTCTTCATAATTAGACTTCTATGCCTGAAATATGATGGTACTTACCCACAGATATTGTCCACACAGCAATTATTTTAGCAAAAGCCTTTGCTCTTGAGTTGAAGCGGCTGTGATGGATAGGGTTTCTTATTGCAATGTACCGATCCAGAGAGATTGCGCAGAGGTGCATGATAGAAGCAGTGGAGAAAAGTACATCCAAATAAATCCAGATAGGACACAGTTTTCTATGTAAAGGCCATTCATAATCTGAGAGATAAAACCAATAAGTATAAATTATTAGAATGCTCTTATGCAGTTATCTTTTGCTCTACTCATTTTATGCTTAATGCATAAGAAAGAAATGATTTAGAAACTCAATATGTTGAGGCTTATTAGAATTAAAAGATGCATATCATAGTGTAAAAATATAGTGCTTATAACATGTTGTAAATAAAGTGTGGGACACTACACATTCCAAAATATACTAGAGATTAGCTAGGGATTATATGTCCTTATAACGATACTTAATTAGCTTTATTCAGGTAATGAAGGTGGCATGGGGTGCAATTTCTACACAAGGAACATTTTAAAGGAAATGGATAGTCTTTTTTCAGCTACACACATAAAAGAGATCAGACAATTTTTTCTTCTGTACATAGATGCTCCTTTGTACTGTTGCATAATGGATGTGCTTTGCTGTTCCTTCCCACAATGTACCATAAGTGTCTGAGCTGGCTTATTCTTTTAAAACAATGCACTCCTTATGCAGCTAATAAGTGTTGCCAGTCTGAAACATCCAGCACTGCTACGTAGAGTCTGCCCTCTAGGTGTGCTCACAAATAAAGGCAGGTGTACAAATAAAGGCAGATGTACACTAATCCAATATATGGGTTAGTGTACTTATTATCCGATACCTATGATGTTTGTGATCACAAACTAAGTGCTGGGTTCAGAAGATACTTTTTTTCACATACCCTGTTTCCCCGAAAATAAGACCTACCCCGAAAATAAGACCTAGTACTATTTTTGGGAATTGCTAAAATATAAGACCTACCCCGAAAATAAGACCTAGTTGTGACTGATCCCTGGGCCGGTGGTGGCAAAAGGGGGAATTTGAAGAGCCGCAGGAGAGAATCAGCGGTGCCAACAAAGCCAGCGCTAGAGGAAGCGAGGTGGCAGCGGAGGGAGCAAAGCCGCATAAGCCGATGCTTCCCCTATAGTGTCATCTCCTGTCACAGGCGGAGTGATACCAAATGTACTCCGCCTGTGAGTAATCAATAGTGAAAGCGCGCTTCACTCATTCTGGCCAGCGATGGTTAACAAATTGCTCTTGGAAAGGTACGACACACCTGATTGCCCTGATCACCATATTCTTAACTTTGACACTGTCTTGTAAATCTTCTACCGGTAATATCTTTGGATTGTTGTACATTTAAAAAAAATAAGACCTACCCCGAAAATAAGACCTAGTGCGTTATTTTGAGCCAAAAAAAATATAAGACAGTGTCTTATTTTCGGGAAACACGGTACATGTGGTGAATTTGCGCAGGTTAGATCGGGAGTGAACTTAATAGTTCATCTTCTAAGCACAATTTCTTTGAGTAACTGTCCATTTTTAATAGATGCACACATACAGTATATACTGCACATAAATATATATATATATCATTTCATGTGACGACACAGAAGAAATGACACTTTGCTACAATGTAAAGTAGTGAGTGTACAGCTTGTATATCAGTGTACATTTGCTGTCCCCTCAAAATAACTCAACACACAGCCATTAATGTCTAAACCGCTGTCAACAAAAGTGAGTACACCCCTAAATGAAAATGTCCAAATTGGGCCCAATTAGCCATTTTGCCTCCCCGGTGTCATATGACTTGTTAGTGTTACAAGGTCTTAGGTGTGAATGGGGAGCAGGTGTGTTAAATTTGGTGTTATCGCTTTCACTCTCTCATACTGGTCACTGGTAGTTCAGCATGGCACCTCATGGCAAAGAACTCTCTAAAGGATCTGAAAAAAAGAATTATTGCTCTACATAAAGATGTCCTAGGCTATAAGAAGATTGCCAAGACCCTGAAACTGAACTGCAGCACGGTGGCCAAGACCATAGAGCGGTTTAACAGGACAGGTTCCACTCAGAACAGACCTCGCCATGACCCTCGACCAAAGAAGTTGAGTGCACATGCTCAGCGTTAGGGATGCACTGATACAAGCATCGGTATCGGCGGCGATACCGAGTATTTGCATGAGTACTCGTACTCGTGAACCCTTTAAGAAAAAGTATCGGTAATTGGTACCGGTGAGTAAAAAGTATCGGTACTCATACCGATACCACTTAAAAAAGTGGTATCGGTGCATCCCTACTCAGCGTCATATCCAAAGGTTGTCTTTGTGAAATAGACGTATGAGTGCTGCCAGCATTTCTGCAGAGGTTGAAGGGGTGGGGGGGTCAGCCTGTCAGTGCTCAGACCATACACCGCACACAGCATCAAATTGGTCTGCATGGCTGTTGTCCCAGAAGGAAGCCTCTTCTAAAGTTGATGCACAAGAAAGCCCACAAACAGTTTGTTGAAGACAAGCAGACTAAGGACATGGATTACTGGAACCATGTCCTGTGGTCTGATGAGACCAAGATAAACTTATTTGATTCAGATGGTGTCAAATGTGTGTGGTGGCAACCAGAATATATATACATATATACATACTGTGTATTAAGCTGTATGCCTGGAGCTCAGCTGTATGTGGAGGCTGTAGAAAACACTGGTGCACTTTAGATGCGTACAAATGCAAAATGGCAATATTATGCACACGTTACATCATGTGTGTGAACGTGCATGCACATCCACCACAGACACTGGTATCAAGTGGCCTATTTCAGCATGCATAAGTCCTGCATAGGCTCATTCAGAGCTGGGGCAGTAACAAAGCTCAGACACAAATTGGCCTTTCAACTGTATTCCTATGACCCATAATCTCTAAGCTTGAACTTTGTGTCTGAGCTTTTTTATTAACCAGCCTATGACCTGACTGTCTGTTGCCGAACCTGGTGTATCCTCAGTGCATTACCAGCAATATTCCTGCACATCTGACACCAGCGCATCCAAATTACAGTCAACAGTTCCTGCACCTAGGCACTAGTGTCTATCTTACAACTGTGTTTCCCCTTGTCATTGACAGAACATCATCTAGTAGACAGATTCCACTCTGTTCTTTTACTAGTACCTCTTTAGATTTGCATCCTCTATTCATTGGGGGGTAGTCCTGGCACCGTTAGTTTTCGATTTGGCACTGCTCTGACATATTTTTTTCTTGTCAGGCTAGTCATACATGGATTGCTTTCCTGCTGAGTCAGCTAAAATTCATTTTTGTGGGTGGTCCTGCTGGCCCACAAAAGTCTATTATTTAATTGACTGAAGTAATCAGAAGGAAAGTTGTCAGCCAAACAGTGACTGCAGGCAATAAGCTTCAGTCACTGTTTGGGTATTCTGACAGCCACAGGCACTGACCAGCTTCAGTCTTCACCAACTGCTCCCACAATATCCTCTCAGCACTTTCACATCTCTAAAATGATGTACCATACTGAGAACCTTCTTGAAATCATACTCTCTATTCTAGATAACTGTAATGTATTACTTGGTACCCCTATGCCTTCCTCTAAACACTGCCGTCTCAGACGCCTAATTCTCAGTCTCTTCACATACACACACTTCAGTCACCCTCTTCTGTGCGCAGCATCTGTCCTATATCCACACACAGAATTCTTTTAAAGTGACACTAAACTAAGGAGTTACAAATGCATTAAAGTACCTTAGCTGTTAACAAAAAAGTATCTTATTTGTGTATCACTCGGCTGTAGATTCTCATATCATCTCTGAATTGGTGCTGACACTGTCCTTCCTCCTGGAGGGTGACTACGATTGTTCCACTTAGTCCTTGTGTCACTATCTCACTTTCAGTCTACTCATCTGTATAGAGATTTGTACTATGCACTCCCTTAGGCTAGGTTCATACCTAGGCGACACCTCACTGCGCGGCAATCGTGCACAATTCCGGAGTCGCCAAGGTGTGAACCAATGGCACTGTGGGTGCCCCAGTCGCGCCGGGTAGATCACGTTGTGTATTGCAAGAAGAAGCTACATGTACCTTTTTCTGCAATTGCCGCACGGATGTCGCCCAAATAAAATAATGGGGCTGTGCAGCAATCGTTGCCTGCATTGTACAGGACCATGCGATCCTGGGACACGCGTCCTGGGTGTCGTGCAGTGTGGTGCAGGTGTGAACCTAGCCTTAAAGCAGAGGTGGACAACTCTGGCCCTCCAGCTGTGCTTTAACTACAAACCCCATAACACCTCTGCTTCTTGGAGTCATTCCTGTGGCTCTCAGAGTCTTGCAATGCTCATGGAACTTGTAGTTTCACAACAGCTGGAGGGATGGAGTTTCCCACCCCTGGCTTAATGGGACCCCCTTATGACTTCCATAACAATAATATGTATTTAAGTTTTGTAAGTTTTATTTTACATATTAATTTCCTCGCATATTGTTTTCCTAAATAAGAAAGAAGTGGGGATATAATGAAGTAAGGGTTTGTTTGCCACATCCCTAAAGTATAACAGGTCAGACTATGGCGTATGTTTCAGGTCTATATTAACTTTGCAGAAACAAATCCATCTTCTGCTCTGTCTATACTACAGGTACATATTTATATGATCACAATGAATACCTCTACAATTAGGATACCTTATTTACTAAATCTAACACAAATATAATAGTACAACTGATAATTCCTTTTTGATAGCAAAATACTAGTTAGATATTTGCTTTCTTTCCTAAATTTGCAGTAGAAAAGATATGCTGCAGCTAAATGGTAACCAAAAGGGTATAAAAAAAATTATCTGAAATGAAATAGGGGATGATTTGTAAATCCTCTGCCCAGCCATATGGTGGGCGAATGCTGTTCATATGGCACAGGAATTTCTTATGCTCCTTGGCTCCATCTAGTGGTAAGAATGGCATGTGAATGGCATTCGCTCAGCGTATAGTTGGAAAGATGATTTATAAATTATCCCCATATTGTTTTTATAACCCTAATTAGAAACTTATATTTGAAATTGAGGTAGCATCATTGCTCGCCTTTTTTATATTTACATAAATATACTCTAACTCTAAGGAACTAAGGACACTAAAGGTCCATTCACACCATAGCATTGAGTTATTTGCATAATACCATGCCATTAACACATGCTTTTGCGCAGTGCACCTAGTGTGCATCACCTGCCCAAGGTTCGTTTAGTTGCCAATCATTTAAATTGAAATCCAAGGCACCTCCCGGCCACCGTGCACTGCAACGCATCTCAATGCTTGGTATCACAACACCTTGTCTTGTATTCTGGTGAAAAAAAGTAGTGCATGAATAATTATTTCACCCCGCTGCAACACAAGGTATTGCAGTACATGGTGGATGGGGTGTGTGTTGAAGTGCCATTCAAATGAATGGCAAGGCAACGTATTTAGCACATGGTAACACACGCTAGGTGTGCTGTGTCATAGCTTGCACTAATCACAAGGTATTATGTGATTAATGCAATGCTTTGGTGCGAATGGGCCCTAAGGGTTGTATTTATAAAATATAAGCAGAACAATCACACCACATTAAGGCCACTAGGTGGAGCCAAGGAGCATGGGACATTCCTCTGCTCCTTGGCTCCATCTAGTGGCCATACTGCGGTGCAAAACGAAAACATTTGCAGAACTGTTTGCTCTGCGAATGTTGGGGGTGAGCTGGTCCCAATGAATCTCTAGTTAAATCTCCTTCCTTATGATACTATCACCATGCTGGCTAGAAATGTGGGAACCATGATATTAAAAAATCCAATAATTTAAATTTGGAAGTTTGGGTTGCTGCTGAAACACACCAAAGGGGCAGTTCCTTGTGTCCTCGATTTAGGGCCCATAAGTTGGCCATAAATAATAAATGCTAGATAGCACACTTTCTAAAACTGCTTGCATTCCAGGACTCTCCCAAGAAGATTAAATAATTCTTCTCTTAACATATTTTACTCTTTTACTAAAAGGTACCAAGGAACTTAATAGGATATTTTCTATGTGTACTCTAATACAGCGGACTCCAACCTTTCGGACCTCATGGACCACTAAATTCATCATTTTAATCCCGTGGACCACTAATATGAATTTTTTATATAAAGGGAGGTGACCTCTCCCCCCAATAGTGCAATAGCCAATAGAAATCTAGCTATGCAATCGTATGCCTTTTTTTTCTTTTCTGACTGACGGTCAGGCCGCGGCTCCCGATGTCAGAAAAGAAAAAAAAACGATCGCAGGGAAAGGTTTAATCTGCTCGATTGAGCAGATTAAACCTTTCGGGTAAAAAGTGTTTCTCTCCCGGATGTGTAGTCACCGACCCAAGCAGCTCCATCGGGTAACGAAGGGAAGGGAGGAGGAGTCCAGTGACGTCACGGACATCAACGTACCCGGACTCCTCCCCCTTCCCTTCATTAGCCGACAGCTCCGGTGACGTCGATGTCTGTGACGTCACCGGAGCTCTGACGGAAGACCCGGAAGCCGGCGGAGAGGTGAGTACGGATCAAAAGAACTTTGATCGATCAAAATAATTTTGATCGATTAATAAAATTAACGATTAATCACCAGAGCCTCCGTGTTGCTTCAATGACGGCCCAGCCTGCACGGCATCAGAGGTGCCCGGGGACCACCAACATTTTCTCACGGACCACCAGTCGGCGACCACTGCCCTAATATCTAAACATAGGTTTTTGTTTATATCTAAAAATTGTTTATATAGGGCATACAAAGAGGCTAACCCTGCTTAGAGTGGTGCAATCATTGGTCATACATGTACCATGAATTTAGATGATACAAAGCTAATTGCCAGTGCAGTGAGTCATACAGATGATTTCTGCCTTCACTTGACAGCACAGTTAGTTCTGAAACGGTGTCTTAAGCAGGTATATTTGCCAGTTTTAGCGGAAAAGCCATTCCCAGGATGATTATCACAGCTAATTTTGGCACTTTACATCTCATCTGCTTAAAACAGCTCCATGTGTTGGAGAAAGGTAACCTTTCTGGCAAAGAGAATCGACTAAAACTGATGTGGCAAAAGGGTTAGACCAGATAAGCAGCGATGTGACCTTAACGAGCTATAATATCTGATGGCCAGTATTGCTAACAATAAAATAAACCATGTGCTCCTCTACAGTTTTGAGTAGATTGTAGCCAGGAAACTGATGATGTAGATGGTTATTCTATTTTAGATTTTAAAATATTTTTTTTTGTAATCATCAAAAACATTGTTAGTTAGTTACACTGAAGTTTCTTTCTTTATGTATAATAGTAGCAGTCACTTGGATGTGAGACTATTAGATGAATATTCACCAGCAAGTGGCGCCCTGGTACTACGAAACCATAACAATATTGCATAGATGTATACAGCTGCTCACTATGTGACCAAGTGCTGTATAATATAGTGAGATAGATAGATAGATAGATAGATAGATAGATAGATAGATAGATAGATAGATAGATAGATAGATAGATCAGTAAAAATACAAATATGTAAAACATTTTAAGTACTAGAACTTAGAGACATGAGAAATTTGTATCTCCTAATTGTATATTTCATAACACAATAAGCAATAAGCTGTTGCACAGTAAAGTATAGCTCATTTTGTTTGTCACACCATTCTACATACTATGATATTTATAGTACATTGTCCTTAATATCTATCTATCTATCTATCTATCTATCTATCTATCTATCTATCTATCTATCTATCTATCTATCTATCATCTATCTATCTATCTATCTTTTTTGGCACTTAGCTACTTAGTAGGCAACGGCACATACATACTGTGTATGCAATCACTATCTACTTGCCATATACAGCTGCTCACTATGTGACCAAGTGCTGTATAATATAGTGAGATAGATAGATAGATAGATAGATAGATAGATAGATAGATAGATAGATAGATAGATAGATAGATAGATAGATAGATAGATAGATCAGTAAAAATACAAATATGTAAAACATTTTAAGTACTAGAACTTAGAGACATGAGAAATTTGTATCTCCTAATTGTATATTTCATAACACAATAAGCAATAAGCTGTTGCACAGTAAAGTATAGCTCATTTTGTTTGTCACACCATTCTACATACTATGATATTTATAGTACATTGTCCTTAATATCTATCTATCTATCTATCTATCTATCTATCTATCTATCTATCTATCTATCTATCTATCTATCTATCATCTATCTATCTATCTATCTTTTTTGGCACTTAGCTACTTAGTAGGCAACGGCACATACATACTGTGTATGCAATCACTATCTACTTGCCTGCCTAGTTCCTTTTCAATGGAAAACCTATTTTAACCTAATTAACTGTTTTATTGCCTGCACCTTCTAATGAATTATATTTAGAGCTATTGTGTCTCAGCTGGAAATCATTTGTTTAATAGGCTCCACTACTTACCATAGAGAATGTTTAACATGGAGATGGGCATCACAAGGAAGCCTATAAGCATGTCGGCTATGGCAAGGGACATGAGAAAATAATTAGTGGCATTCTGAAGCTTCTTCTCCAGAGATACAGCCATGATCACTAATATATTTCCAGCAATGGTTATCACAATGATTGTGACCGTTAGCAGGGCTGGCCAGTTTTTTTCCAAAGAAAACGAACTTCCTTCCGGAGAAAGATGCGTTAAATTTTCCGAACCCTGGGTCCAGTTGAAATTGTCAGATATATTAGCTCCTCCTGTTCCAAATTCACTGTTATACAATTTCCTGTCATGGTTCAGTTGAAATAGAGAGTTTTTGGTGACATTCACAAACTTCTCTTTGTCAAGAATATCCATACTTAAACCTGAGTTCTGTGGAGAAATGATCTGAAAGAACAGCACGGGGTATCTTTTCTCCAGCATTGGCCTGATTTTAATCCACGGAGGAGAGATTCATAATAGCTGGTCCTGAGATTTACGGATGACCCCCCTTGTCCATCTTCCTTAGGAAAGTGTGCTATAAGATCCATAGGCTCCCTCCCATGATCACAGGGTCTAAGACAATTTTCTCCGGCTCCTTTTAAACTCAGTCATCAGATTGCAGATTAATTCAATCCAGATTTTTTTTAAAAAGGTTGGGTTGAGGTTATATGGCGTGAACATGAAGTTTTTCTCTAGTCCCAGTCATCCCAAACTATAATCCTTCTTCCTTTGTTTCGGTCTTGCACCTCCAAGAGTATCTGAGAAAACAGGAGACATAGTAACACCTTCATTTAAAAAAAAAAAAAAAAAAAAAAAA